AAAAAAAAAAAAAAAGTCAAATATAAGATCTATTTTGGGAAAGTAATTTGTAGGATGTCCTTGGAAGAAGAACTAATAAATGCTTTGAAAAGTTTCTGAGTCTCTATTGATCAGAAGTATTTACTTGATTGGCACCAAAATGATTGATTTAAAATTTTAATTTATTTATATATTCATTCACTTATATTAGCAATCTGTAAATACTGCATGAATTATTAGTAAAAGAAAACCGAAGTTTTAATCAGTGACATTATGAATATCTCCTGAATTACTTGCACATCAAGTCTGAATTTCTCTGCTTAGATTTCAGGTCATTCAGCACCTAGAATTGTCCTATCTGTACAGATGGTGTATTTCTTCATGCCCCCAACACCCAGATTACTCTCTTGACTTGCCTACATAATTATTTTTTCTTTACATGGACTCATACAGTATTCCTTTACCAGGGTGTACATCAAGGACTCTGCTTTCAAATTCTAGATTCCTAATGTTTAGCACAGTTCTAAGTAATCTTCAGTTGATAATCATTCAATATGAGGTCTGCTGTCCAGTCATCTTATACTTTATTATATGCACAAGACAGCAATGTGTGACTAGGGTCATGCTTGGAATGCCTGTCATTCTGTTTTCTCTACAAAGCCTCTTTTGGCTATCCTTCTCTTACTAATATCTTAGACCTCAAAGTTTAACATAATTTTCAGGCTTTCTTATTTAGAGTTTCATGTGCATTGCTGTTCCAATTTCCTATAAACTCCTAGAATCTAGTGTATTTATTTTGAGTTACCAAACATTTACTATATATCTTGCTTCCTTTTGTAGCAACCTCTCTTGAACTGGTAAATAGTGCTTTTGATAAAATCCCACATATAGTATATATTCAATACAATTTTATTAATTTTAATAAAATGTGCAAAATAATATAAATTTAGAGTAATCCACATTACATATAGTAAAGATTCAACTTACTTTTTCCCCTTTCTTCTGTGCTTTTTTTTCAGGGAAAGAAACAGAAAAGGCCAAGGAACGTTATGACAAAGCCACAATGAAACTTCATGTGCTGCATAACCAGTATGTGTTGGCACTAAAAGGAGCTCAGCTCCATCAAAATCAGTATTATGATACTACACTTCCTCTGCTTCTGGACTCTTTACAAAAAATGCAAGAAGAAATGATAAAAGCACTGTAAGATATGGTTCCTATTTATCATAAAATTTCTCCAAAAATAATTTCAACCTTTTTTCCCCCCCATAGTTAAGCTTTTGCTTCCTGAGCTTCATCATTACTTGGTCTGTTGGTTTTCCAAAGCCGTTTTACCTTCCATCTTGACTTTTCCTTCGGATTGTACTCATCTCCTACACCTGTTAGCCAGAATTAGCCAGATAATAAAAAGACCCAAGAATGGTCTTTTTATTATCTATTTCTGCTTTATTTCCTTTAGCAGCAATTTTAAATGAAAAATACTTAATAGTTGACAAACATTAAGATGTGAATATTTGCCTCCAGAGGGTTTTAAATCTTGAACTGAGAATTTTAGAGATGTTTTTCAAGGTTTATTTACTAACTTCTTGCTTTTTTTCCCCCTGTATAAAATGAAAATCAATGAATACTATTTGAGGTAGAAATGTGCAGTGGCCTCTCTTGCTTCCAAGGAGATAGCAGTCTACTTTAATCAACAAATCACATGCATGCACTTTTACCATACACATTGATGTAAAACAACAACAAAAAAGATAAGCATCCTTTTGGATGGACTTCCTCTCCTATATTAGATAATTTAGCTCTTCCCAAATAGTTAGATTCAGCTTTCTTTCACTGAAAATATGTGTGAAATTCTTTAATAGCAGAGTTGCTGTGATTTGGTAGGGTTGGGGAAGGTGGAAAGAGAAATGATGTAGTAATGAAGGAGAGTTAGAGAAGAAATAAGTGTTTAGGTATCTCTCAGGTAGTGATGAAGTTCACAAATCATGGTGAATTATGTTGCAAAGAACTTGGGCCAGTTAAGTACTAGCTCTTGTGTTTTAGTTAATTTCCTGATAGTTACATAAATTAACCCATGAACATTTAGATTTGTATATTTTGTAAGCATTTTTCAAATTATAATGTAAAAGGAAGCCTGAGTATCATGTAACTGACAGGTACCGGAGTAATTATAAAAGGTAAAATGATAATTTTTAAAACAATGTATTGTACAGTATGTTGTGGTTTGTAAAGCACTTTCATGTGCATTTGCTTCTCTGCTCCCTTGTTCTGTACAGTATCCTGAAGAATCAGGAAGAACAGGTTTTACTCAGGCTATACCTGTGACAGACAGATCAATACTGGCCAAGATCACAAAGCTAAGAGGTAGGAGATTTCAGATTTGAGGTTAGGTCTTCTGATTAATCCAGCGTTCTTCCCATGAGAAGGATATGATGTGTTGACCAGCATGTTCTCAAAATTCTTATGTGGCTAGAACCTCAGTTGTGACCATATTTGGCAATCTGATCCTTGCAGATCTGGTAATTAGTTAAAGATCTCAAGATGAAATTGTTCTGGGTGTAAAGTGGTCCCTAAATCCAATAAGTGGAGTCTGGGTAAGAGGGGAGGAGAGAGGTAGATAGAGTGCTATGTGAAGACTGAGCAATGTCCCTTAAAAGCCCCTGAAAGCTGGAGATAATTTTTTATATTACAGATGTTCCATTTTTGTAAAACTATTTGCACTAGTCAACAGTTTCTATTTTAATAATTATATAGAAGGGAGAATAATTTGAAATTTCCTAATACCCAATCAATGATTACCTTGGTATTAATTAACCTTAGTAAATGGCTTCATTGTTTTCTTTGAAGAGCGTCCTGGTGCCTTAATAGATTTAGTACAACTCTATCCTTGTGCTGTGTTTTTCCATTGACAGAGAGCTATCAGATAAGAGATTTAGATTCCCAATATTTTTTGAGTAGTAATGATTTCTGGAACTTCTGAAGTTAGGAGATCAAATTTGTCTTCGCTGCCTTTCAGACTCTGCCTGACTTACTTTGCTTCTCTTTCTGTAAAATTATGATGATAACTAAATATATTCTTGTGGCGGTAAGACTTTTAGATTATCCCCATAGTCACAGTAAGTAGATGAGATAATGTTTTAGTCAACTTAAATATATAAGCTAGTTATTATTGATAAGATAGTGAAATATCTATTTAAAATGCTTAATTCATAAGTTTACTTTAAATTACATTTTTGAGAAAAATAGTTTCTCACAGCATTTTATTTTCATTTTGTAATGTATTACTTTAATTCTAGCATTTTAATAACCCAAGCATTGTGTTATCCCTGAAATTAAATCCCATGTGATAAGTAGCCTGCCCTTCATTTTTCTTAAGGGCAAATCTTAATGATTTCTGTGTCATAACCATCTTAACTCCAGGGGTATTGCTACATCTATATTTAAAATTTTCTTCCTTCTCCTTTTCTTTAAATTGTGTGTCAGTTGATTTCGGTAATCATTTGAATATAGCATTGCCTTAACCAATTTATATCCTGTTTTCTTGAATCCAAACACTGTATTTCTATTTAAAGTAAAATAATTCAAAGAATACTTCATAATAAGGGAGCTTTATGAATAATGATTTTCATCCATGAGTAATGATTTTAAAAGAGAAAAAATGCTTTTTATGTGTTTGGCTCTATACAGAATAAGCTTACTGTCCAAACTCAGATTTGACACTGTTTAGTTCAATGGCATATTTTTATTTATTTATTTGTTTATTTATTTGGTATAGGATCTCACTACACAACTTGGATTCATAGTGATCCTCCTGTCTCAGCCTCCCCAGCACTGGGATTACAGGCATGTGCCATCACCCCTGGTTTTGGTGTTGGGCACGGAGGTTCTGGGACTAGTGGAACATGTGGTATCAGGGATCAAACCCTGGTCCTTTGAGTTTGCCAGGCAGGTGCTTAGACCCCTGAGCTATCTCTCCAGCCCCTGGCATATTTTTAAAGCATAATAGCATTTATAATTTTTATTTTTATTTACCTTCACAGCATTGCATTTTTAAAGACAGAATTTGATGTTTGTGGTAGACTTTCTTTTTACATTTACTGCACTATGCTAATGATTTTGATGATATTTTTGCTACTGACTAGAGGTCAAAAGAGATTAAGATTTCACTGAAGACATACAATTAGTAGAATTAAGCAGTATATAGAAAAAGGAACAAAGCCCCAAAGTAAGAAAAGAAGCAAGAGGCAGGGCATGTGAGACGTGCCAGACACTGGAAGGGAACACTGACTTGCAGTAAATAGTCAAGAGTTCCACATTATGGAATCCAAAATTTGTATGGGACTATTTAGAAAAATTATCAACACTGACTTTATGTATTGTGCATTTCAGATATATGTTTGAAAAGGCAAATTTCTAGTTTAGTTTACTTATAGTATTGTAGTTATCAATGTAAAGTGCTAATCTGTATATTTATGTAATCTCTTTTCTCTCCAGGTATATGAAATAACATGGTGCATGAATCCACTATCTGTAAATACTGATGTCATTTCTTATGTCTGTTGTTTGAAATCCTTTTTGGGTCTGTGTTTCTATTGATAAAACATTAAAATGTTATAAAATTTTATTTTTGTTTTCAGAAAAGGTATCTTTGATGAATACAGCCAAATAACCAGTCTTGTTACAGAGGAAATAGTAAATGTTCATCAAGAAATTAAAATGTCAGTCGAACAGATAGATCCTAGCACAGAATACAATAATTTCATAGACGTTCATCGGTATGATATTTTCATTTCTCTTTAAATACTTTTGAAAATGTTATAATTTAAAAAGTTATAAAATTAAATATTTTAGGACTTATTAGGAAATAGTTTGTTGTAGATTAATTTGTCTCCTTTAAATTTTCAAAAGCTCTCTCAATGTGAATTTATATATATATATTTTAAAAATTTTAAATCTTTTATTTATTTATTTTTTAAAAATTTATTTCTTTTATTGAGAAACAAATAACAATGAGACAGTTTCAAAACAGGCAAGTAGGACAGTTACAATAATTAATACATTGCATATTGTTGTCTTTGTAGTAGTTATTCACAGTACAAGATGCAGACATAATATCCTGTCCAAACACTATTAGTACAAATCTTACTTCTCATTGAATTAAGAGAAAATAGCTGTATATCTATCCTATTTTGTATATACAAATACAAAATGGTCCTTCATTTGTATCCCCTTTTTTTGTTAAGTTTTTTTTCCCATAAATTTATTGAGAGATAAATAGCAATGAGACAGTTTCAAATCAAATTGGTAGGACAGTTTCAATAATTAACACATTGCATACTCTCTTCCTAGTGGTTATTTGCTGTATAATTCTTAAAACTTGTTAAATTACTATAATCCTGAGTTATAAGTTACTTCTCCATGTATGTTTCTTTCATACTTACTAGAGTTGAGACAGGTATGAAGCAAATTAGTATTGTAGCAGAACTAAGATTCAAGTTACATAATTAGATCTTTGATGCCTAGAGTTTACTTCATACTATTTTGTGTCTACTTTGTAAATAGAATTTTGAATAAGAATAAATTGCCTTTAGTGTGTACTAATATTTGTATATGTTATAATAATTCACTAATATTGATCAATTATTTGGCATACTTTATTAGAACAACAGCTGCTAAAGAACAAGAAATTGTATTTGATACTTCCTTATTAGAAGAAAATGAAAACCTTCAGGCAAATGAGATCATGTGGAATAACTTAACAGCAGAAAATTTGCAAATAATGTAAGTATTAAGAAAATTTGTATAGTTTAAATATGACTTGTCATTGCTTTATAGTTGTATTTCATCACATTTGAAATCCCCCTTTTTTGCAAATAATGAAAAGTAAATTTGAACAGTATTATATTTGGAGAAATGTTAATTTTACTGTGTAGTCACTAATTTTGTTAATTATGAAATTCCTAGTTTTGTGTGATGTTACATTAATTTGCCCAATATCTTATATTGGAATAAAACTAGTATCTTATATTGGAATAACGCTTTACTCTTTTCATTTATGTTTTTATTCCATTTCATGGCCAATACTGATTGGTAGAACTATTATTGGATAGCACAAAAATATATTTATCAGTGAACATTGTATATGCTTATCTTTGTGTCAGAACAACAATTAGAGATGTTTATTCACTTGGGTCTTTTCCGTATTAAATCTGTTTAAATTTCACCTTAAATAACTTAGCCAAATTCCTTATCTCATATAACTAAACATTCTCCTAGTGTTCAGTAACATTGTAGAGTACAGATAGTTTACTAAAGTAGTATTTTGGCTTTAGTTCTTGGAAAAGGATTTTGCATCTTCAAAGCTAGAAAGAGACCATTAAAAAACAATTACTTTTTCATAAATCATCTGAGAGGGTTCAACAATTGGGGACGATGAACTACTTCTAAAGGGGATGGAAGGATGAATGTCCATTTTGTATCTGTGTATTCAAAGTGGTTAGGATAGATATATACTTACATTCTCTTAATGAATAGAGGAATTTATTCTAATAGTGTTTGTAAATAGGATATCATGTCCGCATCTTGTGCAGCGGATAACCACTAGGAAGAATGTATGCAATGTGTTGATTGTTGAGACTGTCCTACCGATTTGGTTTGAGGCTGTCTCATTGCTATTTGTTTCTCAATAAAATTATGGAAAAAAAAAGAATGGAAGTGTGGGAGAATCCTGTATTACACGGTATTTCCTACCATGATTCTTTTTTTTTTGGCGGAACCGGGAATTGAACTCCAGCCCTTGCACTTGCCAGGGAAGCACTTATTCTACTGAGCCATCTCCCTGGACTGCTACTGCGATTCGTGAAGCTGTTCTCTTAGTATTTGATATCCTGCATAGGGGTCTCTTGATTGTTGACTTTGACATTGACAGCATCAGCTATCTCTAAGGTAGTAATCCTCACTTGGGCTTATTTTTGTCATTCAAGGAGTATTTGACAATGCTTGGAAACATTAGCTGGTGCTAAATATCTGTGGTCTATAAGATTTCCCCTCACAAGAAAGAATGATGTGGAGACAACATCAATAGTGTTGAGATTGAGAACCCTGTTGACTTGCACACTATTATTGATTGATTGATTTATTGCTTTAAACAGTAAAGTGGGAACTTAGGGTATAGGATGGTTGGTGATATTTCTCAATTTCTATGCAGCAAAACAAATTACTTCTTTTAAATTTTTTTTAAAGAGAATAAAAAATAGTACAAAAAGATTAGAAATGATGCAGAATTTGACCAAACAAAATTACAGAAATTCAATAATAGCTGTACTGCATATTGTTGCCCTAAAATTAGTTGCTCAGATTATCAGATATAAATATGAAAATTGGTCAGAAAATTATAAATAATTAAAAAGGGAGAGAAAAAATTAAGCATTAATTGCTCCTTTCAATATATGAGCAGAAATCAGCAGTACAATTATCCAGACTATCTTGTGTATATACATAGATCTTTTTTCCTTCCTTCTTTCTTTCTTTTCTTTTTTTCTTCAATTTAGTTGTTCCTTCCCTTTGAACAGTTTTTTCTATCAACAGTTTATACTTTAATTCATGGGCTGCATGGTAAAGAAATATGGCATTAATTACCCCTGATTTTTTTGTTATCTCTGTGTTGATCATAAATAACTCACTTGCTCATCCAAATCTCTAGTATATACTTGAGGTATGTGGGTGAATATCTTCACAAAGTTTATACTGATATTAATTATTTTTATAAAACTAAAATTAATGAACATATTGACATTGTAGTATGTGATAAAAGTAAAAATAGTCAGCTATTATAGACTTATGTACAATCAGAGATTGTATAGTCAAAGAAGAATTTGTTTTCTTGTATTTTAAGGTATCAGGGCAATATAATTAGACTCATTAATCATTTTTAAATTATGGTGATGAAGGAATCAACAGAAGTATAATGAAGATAAAATGAATGATAATGTAGCAGAATATTTAATGTTCACATCTTATGAGGCAAGACTTTAGCTACATTTTATTGAACAGTTTTTCAATATATGGGGATCAGGTTAGGGTTTCCTCGAGAATTTATTCCTCTAGTTACTCAGTATGTCTTTTAGCAGTACTGAGATAAATCTAAGAAACAAATTACCGATGATTGAGTTAGTCAGCTTGATTGGATTAAGAGGCTGCTGGTGTGTGGGAGAGGTGATGAATCATGCATGCTGTACTTATCATTGCATTAATCTGCTGATGGTCTTAGCTAAATGTATGTTAGAAGACGGGGCCCAGTTGGAGACAGTAGGTCTCTGGGGGTGTGCCATTAGTGGGGATATCTCTCTTGCTGGTGTTTTTCCTTTGTGTTCTACTTCACAGCTACCATGAAGTGAACTGCTTTGTTTCATCATGCCTTTTCAGATAATATTCTTGCACTGGAGCCAGCTAAGCATCAACTGAAACCTCTGAAAACAGGGGCAAAATTAAACCTCTTCTTTAAGTTACAGGTGTTAAGTATTTTGTTCCACTGAGAGGAAAGCTGAACAATACATGTAATTGGTGCCAGAAGTGGGAAGGTTCCTGTGAGTTTACTTGACCACATAGTTCAGAAGCCTTTAGAACTAGTTTGCAGGAAAAATTTGAAAACTAAAATTTGCCTACATTTTGCCCACATCCAGAGACTTTGCAAGAGTTTGGTTTTCTAGGGTAGTGGACTGCTTGTTCTAGTGGAGGAATGTTCAGGGCAGGCCAGTGTTCAGGCTTTGGTGTGGATTTTGCTGGCTACTTTTTATTCAGGTGTATAGCAAGTACTGGGAGCAAATATCAGATAAGGCAGATTTGATATGCTTAAATTTTGGCCAGAAATGAAGCCTATTTAAAATTATGGTCAAGAAGGTGTCGTTGTAAAAAAGATTAGTTTTGTTAAAAAACCGAGTACGGTGATGCTTTGGTTGTTGAACTCACTTTGTTCCAATTTTGCTTTTGAACACCAAAAAGTTTAAAAACTGAACATATTATTCCTATAAAAAATAATTGAAAACCAAATAATGAGTTCTGAGGCCCAAAAATAACACTTATGAATTTATTTTTTCAAGACTTTAACAGGTTTTCCAGTGATTTCTTTTTTAACTCTATTGTCATTTTCACAGTTTTTCTCTTAGCTTTATTGCTTGTATCACTTTTTTTTGAGCTATAGTTATGACATTTTATACAAATAATGTGCAAATCAAAGCACAATAGCAAATATTTTAATGCACTGACACAAGCACTATTTGTTGCCTGGGTAAGAACAATGCTTAGACCGAAGTGTCACCCATTTGTGTTGGCCGTGAGATGTGATATGTGACTCACTCTTGGCCCATAAAAGTCTTCTCAAGTCAGATTTTTGGCTCAATTGTCTAGCAGAGTTATACACAGCAAAGGTTTTTTTTTTTTTTTTTTTTTTTTTTTGTATCCAGGGATTGAACTCAGGTCCTTGTGCTTGCTAGGCAAGCATTTATTCTACTGAGCTATCTCCCTGCCCACCCCCAAAGAACTTTGCTTCTCAAATAGTGGAAAGTTGAAGCTTGGAGACTTTTGACAACCAGGTCATCACTCTTCTTTAAACTGGAGAGGAGTAAAATGGTTTGAATACCTCTCAGGAATCAGTAAGACCCTACCTATAACAGGACTAAGTGTGTAGAAGTATGAATCTTTCATTTGGGAATAGAACCTCTATGCCCCTTACTCAGGAAGGGCTACTGAGGGAATTGATTTCTGGGATTTGTTTCATTGTGTTCAGCCATTTAGGTACCTAGAAGCCACATTGCTTGAGCAAATGGCATACTTTGGCATTGTCTACGTGATACTGATTGTTCAGCATGTGGAATGCAAGAGTCATGTGGTCAGGGAATCTTCCACCAGGATTTCAAAGAAATGCCTGGGAGACCAGGCACTGTGTCCTTAAGTGGTGTGAGCATGAGACTGTGGGAATAGATCAAGTGTGCATTGGAGACCTAGGAAGTTAGAGAGATGCTGAAAACATGGTACAGGTGCTAAGCAAAGCAGCAAACAACAGAATCAGCCCTAGACAGGATTGTGGGCCACAACCAGCAAGACCATATGGGTGGGGCTACCTAAGCCCTTGAGAACTTACATCTTACTGCCATGTGCCTGGATGCAGGACATGTAGCTACAGGACTTAATGTTTGCCCTTTATGTTTGTCTTTCTTTTTTCTTCTTTCTTTCTTTCTTTCTTTCTTTCTTTCTTTCTTAAATGTATTTGGTTCAGGGTTTCACTATGCAGCTTGGACTTGTAGTGATCCTCCTGTTTTCAGCCTCTCCAGTGCTGGGATTATAGGCATGTGCCACCACGCCTGGTCCCTGTCCCCGGCTCAGTGCACTTGAGGGTGAGGCTGGCAAGGCATGTGGTACCAGGAATTGAACCCCAGTCTCTGCACTGACCTAAGCAGTGTTTGTCTTTCTTTAATCTAATTCTTTTTTATCTTCCTGTTTCTTGCTTTTGAAATGGGAGTGTTTTCCCTGTACAGTTGTATTTTGGTATTACATTATTATATCATGCAGAATTTGACCTTGTATTTATTGGAGATTAGGAATTGGTTATGTGCATATGTTTGTGCATAGAGTTAATGAAGAATAGAATATAATGGGTAAGTTTAATGCCAACTTGAGTAGATTAAAAAACTTTTAAAGTGGTAATTGGATCATGGGCCTCTATCTAATCACTCCATCAATCCACTGATGTTCATGCGTAAATGTGCTATTAGGAGCTAGAGCCC